ATTAGGGGTACCTTATTTGGGGCCCTCATAATAAGGATCCTACTGTAGTGACTACACTAAGGCTCCAAAGTAGCTCCTTTTTGGGGTTCATATATAGAATCCTATAAGGTAATCCCAAAAAGGAACTACTATGGAGCCTCTTGGTATTCCCTATAATTCCGGGGCCAACATAGCTGTCGGAATAGATTTAAAAGCTATTCCCTGGGGTTCCTGACTACATTTATGCTATAGTAATAATTCTCAAGACCTTATTCCTTAAGGTTCCTGATCATTTTTATGCAAAAGTAGAACCCAAGACCTTATTCCTCAGCATGGTACAGCATTAAAGCCTCAACATCCCTTTGAGCCCTCTGATCCTACTCCATAGGGGCTAAAATCCAAAACCCAAGCTCCTGAATTTTCCGATGGGGTTCAGAGCTTTGGGTTTCGTATTGAGGGCTCCAGGCCATAAATCGCCCACAGAACCCCGAAAAGCTTCTGTAACGCTCAATAAAGCTGCATAACCACAATACAACGTTGAAAAAGAATTCTGCCAAGGATTTCTAAATCCTAAACCCTAAACCCCTAAACCCTAAATCAAGGATCCACTACCCTAAACTCTAAAGTCTGAAACCCTACCAGGACTTCCCAAGGGCCCTTTAATGGAGCCCTAATGGTCCCCAACAGTGGGTATTTGGGGTATATGTTAGAAGCTGCCCCCACCCTGTAATAGTGGTATACTAGGAATATAATAGGGCCCTAATATAATAGTAATATAAGCCTTATGGTCACTATTACAGGGTGGGGGCAGCTTCTAAGGTATATGGTAGTTGGGGGGTCCTGCTAGACCCCAAAGCCTAAACCTTGAGCCCTATAGCAACCCTGAACCCCAAAGCCCTTCCCCAAAGAATCCATATGGGAGTTTCCGAAAATTAGGGGCACCTGAATTTGGGGTCCTTAACATAGGGACTTACTATGTAGGATACTATATTAGGGTCCCCTATTCTCGGAAACTCCCATATACCCAACCTAGTAGTAAAGTAAGTAATCTTTAACCGTTTTTGGGTAGTTTACAACCCCTATTGGCCTACATATCCAAAAAGCTTAACCTTCAGTTCCCCATAATAGCCGACAAGTAGGCCAAATTGTGTATACATTGGTTCCAAAGTGCCAATATAGGGACTACGTTTTAGGCCTATAAAGTATATACTACTTGGATACCATCGACCCATCAACCCTAAACCTTTACTTTCTAGAACCCTCAAAGATCCCTTACCCAGGTTCCTGAGTAGTATCCTGTTGCTCTTTTTAGGTTGGGGGTCCCCTTAATAAAACCGAGCCGTCGGAAACGGGTACCCGTATTATCAAGGGGCTACTCAGGAACCTAGTCACTCAGGTGCATCCTCCGGGGGCTACGTGTTCCTCTATGCCATCATTTACTTTGGCAACCGCTTGCGGTTTCCTCGGTTCAGGGTTTAGGGTTTAGAGCTTTGAACGTGGGATGAAGGGAGGTGTGGGAATTTCGCATAACTTATGCCCCATAACAGTCGTAATTCTACTTTGGCAATCGCTTGAGGTTTCCCTCGGTATAGGAGTTTCCGAAAATCAAGGGTACCTTATTTTTGGGGTCGTCATAAATATAAGGATCCTACTATTTCGGATATTATATTAGGGTCGATGTTTTTCGGAAACTCCCTTATGGGGTCTAAGGCTTGGCTTTGAAGGTGGGATGAAGGCAAGTGCTGGCACTTCGCATACCAGTCGTAATGTAGTGGCTCCTCAACCCCACCCTTCTTCATTCCACCTTTTGTTGCATGCGAGCAGTACCGCTGGCAGCTGGCAGGGTCCAAGTATGGGTGTTTAGGTCTTTAATGTAAGGTAATTGCATGCTGAGGTTGCAGCGCAGCTAGCACCTGACTAACACGTGATGAGAATCTTCAGAAGTTTCCATGTTCAAACGGACTGGCATTTGAAGCTTCATGATTCGACCTCTGACGTTACAGCTCGTGTATCCCCCCCGCCACCACCAGGGCAGCGTAGACAGTCTGAGTCACAGGGTGGAGTTACTCCCTTTGCTGTCAAAGCTAAGAGTGATGCTCCCTTTAGCGGCACGGATCCCCGTGTGGGTGAGAAACAACGCATCGCGGACCAGGCCTTAGCGTCAGAGGGCGATGAGTCAGCCACACCGCCCTTGACGGGTCAGGCGGTTGCCGGCTCAACAAATCACCTTAAACCCTAAACCCCTAAACCCTAAACCCTGCTTCAGGGCCAAAACCAGGAAGAGGGCTCTCGCCCCTTCACAAAAAATTGTGATCCGCAGAATTGTGCGTGCCTGGAGCCACAGCCAATTCAGAAGCTTGCAGTTTTCAATTTACCGATACGATTCCTTACCCCCCCCTTGTGATGAGAGCCTTCGCCTGCGAAGCAGACAGCATCTGCAAAAACTGCTTGGAAGGATGCGTAGTTCCTTGTATTGGTTGCCTTATTCAACGACCCAGCACTGGTAACATGGGATGCTTGCGGAAGATCTGCTATATCGGCCCAGCCACCCAATTAATGAACTGGGTACGTACTCGAGTTAAGCAATGGCATGTCTCGGACCCTGAGGGGTTGTAGTATAGGGGCTTATGTAATTACCAATACGTTAGAGGTGCCTTATCGCAAGTAGAGTATCATCAATGGGCACCAAACCCTACTCCACTAATCACGGTCCCTACACTACCCTAAACTCCTAAACCCTAAACCCCAGACCCTAAACTGCAGGCTTTAGATGGTTTGGGTGTATACACACACCGGCTAGCAAATGTCGAAGTGTAGGGCTTCCTGAAGGGTTGCCTAACATATGCACCCTGTCGGGTTTTGGGTTTAAATGTACCCTAATCCCTGAAGCCCTAAACGCTGCAACCCTTAACGCTGAACTCCTAAATCCCGACTCCCGAACAATCCCTACATGTACAACGAAGGAGTGTTCATCTAAACCTGGCTTCTTCTGGGCCCCTGAGTAGTTAAGCTTGTATCTCATCAATTTTTAGCTCGTATTATTGAGGATCCGAACACGGTGTGGGAAGTGTATATGCCGAGCGCCGGCTGGTGTTTATCTATCTATATAAATGCATATCTATATCTATATCTATATCTGTATCTATATCTATATCTATATCTATGTCTATATCTATTTCTGTATCTGTATCTATATCTATATCTATGTCTATATCTATATCTATATCTATATCTATATCTATTTCTATGTTGATATCGATATTGGTATCTATATCTATATCTATATCTATATCTATACCTATACCTATATCTATATCTATATCTATATGTATATATATATATATATGTATACCTGTAAAACCCTTGTGTCCAGAATTTCGGCCGCATCCGGCCAAAGGGGTTTCTGCTTGAGCTCAGGCGGGTTTATGCGGGCAACGGCGGGAGTGTATATTCGGAGGCTGATTTGTACAAATCCGTGTTTGCAGCTGTTTCATGATCACAATCCGAGCCTTGACGGCTCTTGGACATCGTCGAGAGGTGCGACCCCCGCCATTTTGCATTGAGTTGTGCATTGAAGCACTGTGCTTGGTGCTGCTGGGTTGAGCTCGAGGTTTGAACGATCAATTAGAGTTTGGGCTCAAGTTTGAAAGAAGATTTTCTGAGCTCATGTCGGAGCTTCCATTGCCGTTGGAAGCATTCGATGAGTTGAAGTCAGCAGGACCCAGCCACAAATCAAGTTCATTTCCGAATGCATAAAACCATGATCCTGTTCAGATTCATTCTGCTTCCCTTGTGGCTTAGGACTTCACGAGATGCCCTTGCCCTGGTTCCACCAGGTGCAGTGTGTCCTTTGGCCCGAGAAAGCCACCCCGCATGCCGCTTCCATGCACTAGACAACACTGTTGCTCATGACTAACCCAATGCTGTTGAGGACATTCTCACGAGCGAGGAGGTGTCCGTGATCTGTGAAAACTACCGCAGGGGTGGTTCGGTGCGAGAGTTGGCCAAGAAATTTTGGGAAGCCCAAGCAGCGGTCAGACCCTGGGCTTCCATACGGGTTTGGGTATTTCGATTGTGGGCTACGTTTCAATCTTGAGATGGCCACTAGACTCAGGAATCAGTGGAGAAGTGCAGACACCGGACAAGGTGAAGAATTCTGAAGCTGAGGGCTAGGGAAAGGCTTTTGTGCTGATCAGGATCGTGTCGTATGACAACTGCAAACCGAGCTACAACACAATAGGATCATGTAGGAGCTGCTAGTATCCGATCAGCCAGAAATGTTCTAGCTGTGCTGTGCCCGGCTGTGGATTCCAAGAATGGCTGCCTGGATAAAAAGATCCGTTTCGAATCAATTATTTCTTCGAGCTGTCTTATGGTGGCAGTTTGCCTGGACTCTTTCTGGGGACAGGCTCCTAGCGATGTGGCGGCGGTGTCCTCCCATGTGCATTTAGAAGGGCGGTGAACTGAGCATGCAGAATCCCGGGACACTGTGGGTTGATGGGTTCTTTCGGGTTGGTTTTCCTAATCATCGTCGCCCAGGTGGGCTGCTATGTGGTGCCAGAAGCACTTGGATCCGCGATGCCATTGGTTGGTGCCCCATCACGGCTTCAGCTAGATCCATGAGAACTTTTTTGATTCTCGTGAGGTTCACGATGCTGGATTGTTGCACACTGGATTCCACAAGGCCTTTCTTCTAGGCATAGAATATTTCCTTTGTTTGTTCTCCGGACAGGTGGCTCGGCGAGGGCAAGATCAGCTAGTGCCCCGCATGCAGCCGCCCCTCTGTGCTCTTATGCAGGGTTTGAGTTCCGAGGTTTAGGGGGGCTTGGGATTGAGATTTTAGTAGCTCGTTACATTCGCTGAGGTTCTAAAACTTACGGGCTAAGTTAATAGATGTTTTATAGGCACAGGGCTTAGGGCTGAAGGGTTTTGGGAGTCGCATTATTGCAATTGTGCATGAAGCAGATGCAACCTCGGCAGGCTTTTTCTGCTGAAGCAGTCTCAAGTAGGACTGACACGTCATGGCTGACAACCACGTGCCGACGACGCCGCCTCCGAAGAGAAGTAGGAGGAGGAGGGTTGCTGATCTTTCGGGGTTAGCACAGGCCTGGGAGAATGAGAAGGATGTGAGAAAGGGATCGAGGAAGAGGAAGTGTTTGCTTCAGTGGAAGGACCCTACCAAGGTTGGTCTGATAGGGTTCAACAGCTTGAAGGAAAACTGGAAGGTTATTCTTCATTTGATCAATATTTACTGTCCCGACTCGCCGCCGAGCAAGACAGTTCCAGTCGACGACGTGAAGCCCGAGGCTGCTTGGGTGCACACATCGGGCTTGTTCTTTGCTGATTCGGGTGAAGTATTGCCGTGGAACATTGCAGCACCCTCATAACCCCTGAACTTTCTAGGTTCAGAAGTTCTACGAGGAGATTGAAGTGACCCCCAAATCGGGCCTTGTTCACTGTGAGAGCCATTCGCTGAAGATGTTCCTTACCTTTATGAACCGCCGGCATGATGGCAGCACCCGCAAGGATTCTTTTCTGCATTGTACAGCACTGAATGAAGCTTTGTATGGTGCATTAGACCCGAACCAAAGTCGACTTATCACTTCTCAGGACAATCGCCTCCGAGCACTGTTCGACGAGCTCACGAAGTACTGGCCGCCTAAGCCCCGAAGCAAGAAAAACTTGGTTCCGGATGAAGAGGAAGCTTCGGACGATGATGCAGAAGCTGATGTAGAGGCACAGGTTTGGGTTTGGTAGGTGGGATGAGGAAGTCAGGTGCTGGGTTTCCGCAGAGAATATGAAAGGGATTCTAGTGCTTGGGTTTAGGTCAAGGGTTTTAGGGTCGGGGGTTGGGCAGGGCTTGGGATTCGGATTCTTTGATGAAGAAGTTTGTGGGGTGAGGGGGTCAGGTTCTGGACTGGATTTCTGCAGCAAATAAAGTGACAGGGTTTTCTAGTGTTTAGGTTTAGGTAAAGGGTTTAGGGTTGGGGGTTGGGGAGGGCTTGGGATTCGGTTATTAATGAAGACAGAAATTATTAGCTAGACAGGACAAGCTCGAGGCACAGAATGTTCACGCATACGGCTTTGGTTTCGCGATCATTTCGGGTGCAACAGTTAAGCAAGTTCATTAAGGGGTTAGGGGTGTACTATTCTTTAGGAGTTTTGTGTTCTGGAGAAGGGTGAGGAGCTGAACGAGATATCGATAGGGACCGGGAGGGCTTCACGCATAGGGTTTCAGGGTCTAGAGTAGAGGGTATTCTGAGGTTGGGTTTTATGTTCAGGAGGATGAAGACGAAGATGCGATGACCGAGCCGGATGAAGATGAGGATCGGCTGCAGCCGGTTGATCCTTATCTGGCTGAGGACTTGGGTGTCAACTCACCCGAGCCTGCATCTGCTTATGTGGGCACTGTTGCTTATGACTTGAATGAGAATGGATTGCCCGAGCCCTTCAACCTGCAAGCTACGCATAACGAGCCAAGCAGCTCCTCGAACCCCCAAGTCGACTTGCTGAAACAGCTGGCTGAGATTGAGCATCTTGTCGTAATACATCAGAGTGTCTATAGGAGCACACATGTGCATTGATGTTGTTGTCTTTCAAATCGATCTATGATTTGCCCAGCGAATTATGCCAAGCAGCCGAGTCAAAGACTGGCCCATCGCAGAGCTGCCTTGAACGGCCAGCTGACTGTGCAGCGATGGAACAGTGCCTCAGTTGCAGAGTTCTCTTATCATGACTCATGGTTCATAAAGACCCAAGCACAGGCAATATTCAATCAGCTTAGGTGTTGCTCATATGGACACGCAGCAGACGATAGAGTGGAATCGGCATCCTGATGAAAGTTTCGATGCACAGGCAGACCCAGCCCCACAGGAGCTGCAGGACATCGCAGATGCAAAGCCGGGTTTGCAGAGACTGAATGCAGCCAGCCGCTTGCCGGAGAGCGAGCATGCACATGGGGCCATTGCCTCGGATGAGGCCAGTGCCCCCGCCGAGACCCCGAGTGATGCCGAAGCCGTGCAGACCACGAGCGATCCCCTAGCCAAGGATATCCCGATCAATACCCGAGCCACCGAGACCCCGAATGATGCCGTAGCCCTAGCTGCCCCGATCTCGAATGAGGCCCTGGATGTTGCAACAGATGCACCTGCAGCTCCCGCCGTTGACTCCGCTGAAGCAAGAAGCCCCGAACCTTTGAAGGATGTTCCAGACCTCGCCAAGGATTCCCCTAAGACAGGAGGCTCCAGGAAGGCCGCCACCGTGCCCAGCGAAGTCGGGTCGCCTGATCTTCTGGAGTGCAAGGTGGCTTCGACCTTCTATCTTATGCCCAAATTACAAAAATCCAGCTAAAGCTTCACCTAAACCCTAAACCCTACACCCCCACGTGTCAGCGCCGAAACCCTAGCCCTAAACCCTAAACCCTGAAAGTAGTTTTAAGGCCTCTGAAGTTTCAAATCCCATAATTGCATATCACCAACCCGTAAAACAATTTCTTGAGATAAGAACCTAAGAATAGTGTAGCCTCAGTTTTTGTCATCAGCTCGCATAGATTGTCAGTTTGTACACTCGACCAGGAAATCACGTCGAGGCAGGCACAAACGGAGCTTAAGGGTGAGCTCGCACCGCCCAAGCCGAAGGGCAAAGCAAAGGCGAAAGGAAAGGCGAAAGCACAGCCGAAAGGAAAGGCGAAAGCAAAGGCGAAAGCACAGCCGAAAGGAAAGGCGAAAGCGAAAGCACAGCCGAAAGGAAAGGCGAAAGCCAAGGCGAAAGCGACAGCCAAGCCGGCGAGTGGCGAGGCTGACGAGGACAAGGAGAGCAAGAAGCGACCCGATGCCGATATTGCCGAGGCTCCGGTTCCAAAGAAAAAAGGCAGACCCTCCAAGGCCGACAAGGATGCAATGAAGACCTCGCCGCCACCCGCCGATAAGCCCAAAAAGCGAGGAAAGCAGTCAGTGGAGGATGCCGAGGATTGCGAGGAAGCGGGTAAATGCAAGAAGCCGAAAAAGGATGCTGAGCCGGCGAAGAAAGGCAAGGGCAAAGGGAAAGGCAAGGGCCAGCAAGCCCACGAAGATCGGCTCACGTTTGCCAGGCGATGGCAACCTCCGAACGAGCCCAGTCGCTCGATTTGGCAGGTGATTAAAACGAGCTTCGACAAGAACATCGCCCACAAAGTTTGCAAGCCTTCGGCTTTGGAGGACTGCTCCTGGCTGCTGGGGATGCCGTGTGTTGCCGACAACAATACAAGCCACCACCACCACCACCACCACCACCACCACCACCACCACCGCCACCGCCAGCACCACCACCACCACCACCACCACCACCACCACCACCACCATCACCACCACCACGACCACTGCCAGTAGAAAGCGGTTTTGCAACATATCAGTGTTGGAGGAGTTGCTGCACTTCAAGATCCGGTATTGGTAGTCGTCGTTGTAGTAGCAGCTATCGCAGTATGATATTGTAGTTGTAGTAGGAGTAGTAGTAGTAGTAGTAGTAGTAGTAGTAGTAGTAGTAGTAGTAGTAGTAGTAGTAGTAGTAGTAGTAGTAGTAGTAGTAGTGTAGTAGTAGTTGTAGTTGTAGTTGTAGTTGTTGTTGTTCATGGGGTGCACAAACAGTAGTAGAGCATAGGTTGTAAGGTCATTGATTTCGGCTTCAGGGGCTTTAAACCTTAGGGTGTATAGGTATGTCTTGTAGTGTTGCCCAAACCAGAAACCTCCTCACCCCCTAAACTTTTGTCGATGCTACAACCAGCCAAGCTTGAAGGTAGCTTCAGCCCGGGGTTCGAGTGTCCATCGTAAACGATCTGCCTGTGCAGTACCCCTTCTACAGCCTGTGCCGCCCTCAACTCTTGGAAGCCGAGCTTGACAACTACACTTCCATCGCCCATGCCTGTGCTATGGAATGGCTGGAAGACCCTGGAAACCAGGGAGCCCCGACTACAATTGTCACGCAACCCTAAACCCTAAACCCACATCCCTAAGCCCTGAACCCTAAACCCTATCTATAAGCCTTACCCTACGAGTCTCTCCATGAGGCTATCTTGTCTGAGTATGCCAAGAAGCATGCACGCATCGTCCTGGCCGAAGTGTCTTGGCAACAGAAGTCCCTACACTCATTCGGGCACCCCACAAAACACGATGGCGACTATTTAATCAGTAGCTCCACTCAGGTTATCCTCATTCACTTTGACACTGATCGTGCTTTGGCACGGTTCTGTGCTGACCACAGAAGTGCCCCGACTGAAACGAGAGCACTGTCCCTTCGGTAAGACAGCAATTAAGCACAACTGCTCCTCCGCCCAGGATATCTTTGGAGACGGTGACAATGTCTGGCACGGCCGAAGGGTCCTTCGGTTGCATTGAACAGGTCGTGGTTGTGCTGGTGCTGTGGCATATATAGAAATCAACTACACCCCACCCGCCCGAGGCTGTGGTTGCTGAGCTGCCGTACGAGCAGTCCTGAAAGATCCTGAGTCGCCTATGGCTTGGGCTTTTGAAAGATCCTGAGTCGCCTATGGCTTGGGGTTTGTTCGCGAGTTCTGATGCCTGCTCTCTTTAGACACCACGAGTTAGCTTCCGAGGGGACGAGTGTGAGCTTGGTCGGACAGTTTCAAGTGAAAGAGTGCATGTATGTCCCGACAACATCTTGCAATTGTGGGTGCAACACACTGCCTCATAGAGGAAGCATGATCGTGGCACAGAGTGCAGATGTCACACAGGAAAGACGACTGACAAATCATTGTTGATGCTTGCTGCTGTGTGCTCATGACAACCAGTGGTTCTCACGCTTGCTCTCTCAAAATAAAGCTTTGCCCGCCGGGGATCCACAGGTACGATGCCGCCGACCTTCCACGGCTATCTGCAGCACGGCCTCGCCGAAGTAAGTGGAGCTGCCTCGATTCTGTTGCTGGGTTTCGGTTACTCTTAGATTAGGGCATAGGGTTGTCGGGTTGCCTGGCTTCTCCTTTGTTTGTGTTATTTACGATAGCCGACTGTGGTTTGAGTCGTCGTGGGGATCCTTGCACTTCAAGGCTGAGTGAGGTTGCCTTCATATGAATAACAAAACAATCGCTAGCGACATGGCCCTGTGCTTTGATTCGAGCCCCTAACCCTAATCCCTAAACCCGTAGCCCTAGCCCTAATTACAGTAGTGGTACTTCTGCTGCTGCTGCTACTAACACTAATACTACCACCCCCACTCCTACTTCTACTCCTGCTGCCGCTGCTGATGCTGATACTGCTTTTGCTGCTTCTTACGGCTGCTACTCCTGCTGGTACTATTACTTGTGTTGCTAGCTGCACCCGTTTATGTTTCTATGATTTAAGGAATTGTTCGCCAGACCAGAATTCCAGTGGTACTCTTTCACAACTAGTACCCTACTGCCACGTCGACGATGCCGAGGAGAGGCACCATCCTCTGCCAGTTTGGGGTTTAGAGGGCTTGCTGTGGTTATGGATTGGGGTGGGCAACTTTCTGGCTGGTGTTGCAGGGTTCATGTTTTGGGGTCTGGCCCATTCGCTCTCTTCCCAAAATAATGGGTGTTTCCTGGGATCTAGGAGGCACCCGTTGAAATGATACGTAATCTCCCCGCTTGTGCTGTGAAGCCCTACCTCTGTCTCCCTAAGCGACATAAAGATATACTATTTTACAAACAACAGAAAAAAGAGGGGCTCCAATTTTGTCTCAAACCGAGTTTGAGACAAAATTGGAGCCACTCTTTTTTGTGTTGTTTAAGTAAAATACCAAAACACATCTGGCCTGGCTAAGTGGAGCTACTACCACTTAATATATATTATATATAGCCTAAACCCTAAACCCTTTTGTCTAACCGGCTATTTCTGAGGCCTCTTCTTCATGATTTGCATAAACTTGAGAGGGTGGGCAGCCCGAATAGCAACCGAAGGTCCTGGGGTCTTACCAAGTGAGGTGCAAGCAGGCTTTTGCAATCCCATAGAGCTTTTCTTCAGGTTCCAATCACTTTTGCAAGCATTTATCGCGAAATTAGGGGTTTTGCTTGAGTTTGGGCTGACAAACCGGCGGCGGGAATACGCGGGATTGTAGCGGGAATACGCGGGATTGTAGCGGGATTACGCGGGACGGCCCCAAAGCAGCCCAGCTGCTCTCAGATGCACTTTCTGATCGCCGACTCCAGGATTGTTTTGGGCTCCAGCCACACCAGAAGTCCTCCTGGCAGAGCCATGGAGGCTGATCCCGAATGCTCGGATCTCATAGCTAAACGAGCAGCTGTGATGGTGACCTGACGGAATAATTTGTTTCTCTAGTTTGCGATCTACAAAGCTCTTTCTGAGGAGCAACTCAAGCTTGCCGGGTGGAAGCCCAAGGAGGAGCTGTTTGTTCGGGCAGCAAACTTGCTGATGACTTTCATGTTTACGTGTCTAGGCACTCTGCTGTTGCAGAAAACAGGAAGAGCCAAGTTTTCGGTCCCGGGCATCATGGCATTCCTCACAAACAGGTTCGCAAACAGGCTCGCCGGAACCCCCTGCCAGCCAATCCGTTGGTTCACCTGGAACCGCGAGCACGAAGCATGCACCAGGCTCAGGAATCCAAGACACCCAGGCTGCTACCCCAAGCCCCAAGATAACCCCGAGCACGAAGCATGCACCACTTGAAGGCTCAGAACTCCAAGACACCCAGGCTGTTACCCCAAGCCCCAAGATGGCCCCTTCCAAGGCCCCGCAGATGCCCAGCAAAGCAGAGCAGCCGCAGCAGCATCAGCAACCCGACAAAACCAAGGACCAGCAAGAGCCCCCAGCCCGTGCCCCGCAAATGCCGAGCAAAGCAAAGCACCCGGAGCAGCCGCAGCAGCAACCCAAGGAAACCAAGGACCCCGCAAACAAGCGAGGCCCATCCGACAAGAAAGCCAGGCCAAACCCAGATGAAGAAGAATATGAGGAGCCAGCAAAGGCCACCCCGCCACCCATGCAAGTCACCAAGGCGACTCTGATGAAAAGGTTGGCTCGCATATGCACCCCGAAAGCTGACGGAACCTACAAAGTGCCGATGGAGATCATCAACACCCACAAGAATCTTGAGACACGGGATGAAGTGTATCGGGCATTCGAGAAATGTGGATGTGACCCCGCACAGCTGGCTCGCTTAGGAGATCGATCAATGTAGACTGTTTGTTCGGGTGGGTCTAACTTCTTTAGCCCGGTCCTGTTCACGAAGCGAGTGAATCGGAAGTACGAAGAGATCAATGAGAAGTCGGTGGAAACCGAATACGAGTTCTTGGCTGAACAGGAGATGGAGGATAAAGGCTGGTCTGAGTCGCTGAGACTATTTAACTATTTGGAGGCTTCAGGTTGCCATGCTGAGTTCATTGTGTTTTGAAATTACTTCTAATGTCAGCCCATGTCTTCAGACGAGGAAAAAGATCAAAGGGGCCAAGAAAAGCTGTGAGCGACGTCCTGGCTACAAGAGGAGATGCTAGCTTGTTCCGCATGATATGCATGTCGTGTCGCATATGTGTGCTGACCTTGTCAAAAGGAAGTCCGAGTACTGTGACGAATGGATGTACTGGGTGGCCGTGAAGGTAAAGGGGTCGAACAAGTTCCGTGGCTATAAAGTATGTTTTGCAGCACACTTTCGTTGCTACTGTGTTCGTCCGAAAATCCAAACCCCCGCCCAGGAAGACCAAACGCAACACCGTCGCCGAGATCCTGGAAGGCGGCGACAACGAGCCGATGGAGGACCCAGACGAAGCCATGCAGGATTTCCCCTTTGCCTTGGAGGGAGATGGGGAGGCCGCCAAGGAGGAAGGCCATATTATGCATGTGCGATTAAACCCCCAAGCCCCTATAAGCCCTGAACCCGTAGACGGTAAACCCGAAGCCCCAAAACCTCGAAAGCTTAAGCCTCGCTTAGCTGAAGCACCTTTTTTTGGGACGTGTGCGAAACCAAAACATCAGGAGCCATAGTGTCTCGCGATTTGCATGTGTGACTAGTAAACCGAAAGCCCAAAACCTGAATTCGACACAGGTCTGATGGTGAGCTTTGGGGCAGGGTCTCAGGTGCACTTCTGTACGGGGTTGCAGTCTGGGTCAAGTGGTATACCTATATATAATATATCCCCTATCACTAGGTTTAGTTTTGGGGTGGGCCAGGATTCAAGGTTGGCAGTACCAAGCAATGAAGCCGTGTGTTCAGCTGCTGCTTCACCGAGCAGCTCAACCCTAACAGCCACAACCCCTAACACCCTAAACCACCCTAAAAGCTTTAAGCTCTAAACTAATAAGTATGTGGCCCTGAGAGCCTGCAGCATGCAAGGCGAGGCAGCAAGCACTTCAAAGACCTTCGTACCCTGCATTAATCCAAAACCCCAAACCACAACCCTGAACCTTAAAGCTATAACCCTACAAACCCTAAACCCATAAAGCTCCGGGAAAAAACGCAGGCATCCCAAAGGTTTTCGTACCATGAACCCAAAACCATAACCCTGAACCCTAAGGCCGTATCCCTACAAACGCTGAAACCATAAAGTTCTAGGAAACAACAAGCATGCAAAGGCCTTCGTATCATAAACCCTAAACCCCAAAACCGTAACCCTAAACCCTATGAAGCTATGACCCCTTAAACCCTGAAACCATAGAGCTCTGGGAAGACAGCAAGCATCCCAAAAGCCTTCGTGCCATCAACCCTAAACCCCAAAATGATAACCCTAAACCCTAAAGCTGCAACCCTGTAAGCCCCCGATCAAGTGCAGCCAGGTGATGGGGAGAAAAGCTCCGATGACAGCAGCGACGACGGAGAAGAGGCCGCCCGGGTGCTCAAAAAAATCAGCTTCCCGGAGCTGACGAAGAAACCTCAGGACTGTTGCTCCCTAGTGTCTGCCTGCCTTCAAAAACGGGTTATGCGAATCGAGCCGATCGTGCTAAAGTTGGGGGAGATCAAAGATGCCAACAAGGCCCACCAAAAGATCCTTGGCTAATAATTCGCTCGCTACGGGTCAACCGAGTTCCAATTCTACGTCTTCCTAACACAAAGCCTCCTCCTAGCTGAGGTATAAAGCCAGCCTCGAGAGCATGATCACCAGGGTGAACGAGTTGGACGATAAGATGATGGCCCTCTACAGCCAGGGTGTGGCTGCTGGGTTCACAAAAGTGAGCCTCGACAGGGAATACTGTCCTGTAGATTTGGGTGGGATAGATCGATGCATAGATAGTTGCATACATAGACTATGTAGGTAGGTAGGTTGATTGGCTGTCTGGGAAGTAAAACACTGTAGAGTTCTAATATTATGTTACACATAGACAAATCGTAGATAGATCGATACATCGTACTCTCGGGGTATGATGCTCAAAACCTTATCGGCAACCCTAGAATCAGCCCGCAAATCTTGCCCAGGGACCAGAAGAGCCTCCGCACGTTCTTCCAGGAAGCGAAGAGGGTGCAACTCGGTTCGCAAATCACCGTAGGTATTGCAGCTTGACTACTTGACTTTTTGTGGGGGTTAACAATACCGAGGGCCGTGGAGGCAGAGTTGCTGTTCGATCGCTCGAAGTCCTACAAGCTGCTTGCCTTACTGGCTTCGTGCATGTGTTGTGGTGCATGCCTGCTGTTATTCTCGAATTCTGCATTGCACATACTGCACCAAGGTTGCCTGCCGCAAAGATGGAAAAGGCTGAAGCGCCGAAAGTGAAAGCCAAGCCTAAAAGTAAGCAGGGTGCAAAGGCGAAGGCAGCAAAGCAGGAAGAGGAGGATGACGAGGAGCAGCAAAAGCCGGCCAAAAGGGCCAAGAAGTAAAGGCTAGCTGCATGCAGCCAGATGCACACCCCAGTCGCAGTATCGATCCCAACCGTGCTAACCTAAGTAATATCGGAGCTGCTGGGCTGTGTGGGTATGATTTTACAAAGTGGCTTGGAATAGCTGCTGCACCGTGCTGGATCGCCGGCCTGCGATCGTGCCAAACTGTTGTCTCTGTGCACACTGGGGGCAGAGGGTTTAGGGTTTAAGGGTTTATGTTTTAGGTGTGTGTGTGTGTGTGGGTTTGTTTTTGTGTAGGGTCTTGGGCCAAGTGTTTCGTGGTGCAGGCTCGAATTTGAGGCTTGGGTTGCATAGGTTTTTAAGTGCTTTTGTGCTTAAGATTCACGCCGTGCCCTACACCCTAAACCCTAAGTGAAGCTTTGACTGAATAGCCAACCTGAGCAAAGCCTTCAACAAAACCTTCCCGAAGCCCAGAAAACTAGGGTTCGGGGTTCAGGGTTTACGGTTAAGGGTTTTAGGTTTCAGGGTTTAGGGGGGCTGAGGTTCGCGAGCTTTCTGCAGTCAACAAATCACAAAACACCAACGCATTTGCTTCTATTGATCTAGTGCTAGACTACTCCTCTTTTCACAAACCCGTTCACTTCCCAGCCCTTTGCTCAAAGCCCTCGTACCCAAAGCCAGCATACCTCCCTATCAAGCCAGGTTCTTCAGAGGATGAGCCGGGCCACGACGGCCGGGTGCAGCTGTATGCAGAGATGCTGGGAGATGGTGCAGCTTCCTCGGTGCGAAATGCATTTAGGACTGTAATCGGGTCTGGGATTGGGCTCGGCCCTGTTCGCTACGAAAGCAGCACTTGAGATTCGATTGAAAGGAGTACCCTATCCCGCTAGTCGCAAACCCTAGCCAAGACTAAGCGACTATTGAATACCTTTAAAACACAAAGGATTAGCTGACTGAGAATCTTTTGCTTGGGGGCTTGGGTCTATTATCAGGACTCGGGCAACAACCCAGTTCTCCGAATCTCTGCCGACAGCAATATGAAACGGTATTCTGCTGCCCCAGCATCCGTAGAAGACACCCCTTGAAAGCAAACACCGAACCCTGAGAAATCAGAAGACCCCGCTCACTCTCTCTCACTCTCTCTCTCGCTCTCTCTCTCTCTCTCTCCTTCGCCTTCGCCTTCTTCTGGTTCTTCGCCTTCTCCTCTTCCTTCTCTCTTTCACTCCGCACCCTCTCACTCTCTCACTCCTCTCTCTCTCTCTCTCTCTTTCTCTCCCTCCCTCTCTCTCTCTCTCTCTCTCTCTCTCTCTCTCTCTCTCTCTCTCTCTCTCTCTCTCTCTCTCTCTCTCTCTCTCTCTCTCTCTCTCTCTCTCTCTCTCTCTCTCTCTCTTCTTCTCTCTCTCTCTTCTCTCTCTCTCTCTCTCTCTTTCTCTCTCTCTCTCTCTCTCTTCTTCTCTCTCTCTCTCTTCTCTCTCTCTCTCTTTCTCTCTCTCTCTCTCTCTCTCTCTCTCTCTCTCTCTCTCTCTCTCTCTCTCCGGGACAAGTTCCAGCCCGCCCAGGCCACAGCGATAGACACGAAAAGGTGTCTCAAGGAGATGGCGAACCCTGGTCTGCCGGAGAGCGAAAAACGAGAAGTGAGCAATGCTGAACGGGATTGCCATGCTAAGTTCAACAGAATGGGTCTATCTTTGCCAGTACCGATACAGACCCACGACCACTGTGTAGAGAATGAAGAAATCATTTCTACATCATATGTGCTGGTGTCTAGCTGGCTACGATACCTCGTTCGGCAAATGCCTTGCTTGCTGGCTGGTGGGCGGAACACACTAGAGGTTCAACTCGAAGCTTTCTGGAAGATGTATCAGAACCACCACCCCGAGCACGCCATCTTCAGTGCAGAGCATATCACTCCTGCTACTGCTATTCCCCTGTGCCTGTTTTCAGATGAAGGGAAAGGCCCCAAGAGGGGCAATTATTTGATGACATGTATGGAATCACCAATTGGTTTGTCAGAGATGCCAGAAGACTTCGCTTGTTCTTGCTCTTCACACGTGTCGCACACGCCGTCTCAGTTCGTGCCTGGCTGTGATACCGTGACCGAAATGTGCGATGCCGCCAAAGAGGCTGCAAAGCAAACTACGAATCTTCAAGGGGCTTCCTTCTTGACAAGGCATTATCTGTTTGGGCTGCCAGATTGGGTATACAAGCATCATGATTCGGTGCTACAGAAAATGATGGAGCTCGTGGCCGAAGATATGTCCAAGCTGTTTACACAGGGAGCAATGATCGCCGGCAAAAGGTACTTTGCAATCCTGACTGGCCTGAAAGGCGATTTCAAGCACATGGCCGAGAAATATGGCGAGCTGACACGTTCTTATTCCCATCTGGGGAAAGTGAATTATTTGGGGATGTGTTCCCATTGCCTGGCCGGCACCAGGCCGGACTTGCCATGGGACCAGGCAACCCACGATCCAGCTTGGGCTGGCTCTGAGTTTGCTTCGAGACCCTGGGACGAGCCGCCAGTGTTTTGCTCCATACCATTCGACTCTGCCAAGCCAGAGGCTGCCCTCAAATTGGATGCCTTTCATCTGTTTAAAGTTGGACTTGGAAGGGATCTTGTTGGGACAATGGTTCTGTTTGCACGCTTGGGCTTTTACGACTTTTCGCCGGGGGAATCTACGGAACTCAAGCAGCGACTGAACCGTGCCTGGAAACATTTTATGCTTTGGCGGGTGACAGCGAAGCAGACGGTGGCTTGCAAGTACTTTTCCCCGGCCCTGTTCAACATCAAGAGGCAGAGCGACTACGCTTGGGCAAATGTCAAGGGCTCCGATACGATGGTTTTTATGCGATACATCCGTTGGTATGCAGGCTTGCTTGTGGCTACCAGGACTCTGCACGATCCACATCGACGTCTTCTTGTATTGCTCAACAAGACCATTATGCATGCACAGGAAGCTATGCACATAATGTATACCCACGGCCTCTGGTTGGCACGGAAGTGCGGTCAAAGCCTTTATGTTCACTTGATGAGTATGTTATCAGGGTATCAAACTTTGGCGGCTCGTTGCCTCACCATGGACCTCACATTTTATGGGTTAAAGCCGAAGTTTCATGGGCTTCATCATTTAGCCTATGATTTGAAGAAGGCACTCAAGACTTCTACACCGCTGGTTTTAAATCCGATATGCTGGGGCAATGAGATGAACGAGGATGCCATCGGAAAGGTATGTTCATTGACATTGAAAGTATCTGTCCGCACTCTGACTCGCCGAGTTATTCAAAGGCACTTTCTCAAGAAATCGGCTGTTATTCGTCGACACAGACAGGAACGAAGCAAGAAGGGTCTGTGAGCAAAAGTGGGTTGGGCTTCTGGTTGCTCTCCTCTCCCCTTGCCTTTCTGACCCTTTAGAAATACTGTAAATCCCAGGGGCGACTTCCAAGCCAATCGAGCAATGGTGCCATTGCAGAACCAGCTTGGGCTTGCTTAATTTCTTAAAGGCGGGGGTGTGGCTTCAGAGCTTCAGTGTTCGAGTTTGGATTTTGAAGGAGTTCCACGAGCCAAAGTGATTTCAGAAGCACCTCAATAACTTTGCTTACAAGTCCTAAACCCCGAGATTCCCAGGCCTTCCCTAATCCCTTCACCCTTAAGTCTTACATCCACCCCACCAGTATCGAACACCCTCTTGACTTTGGCTCCGAAGCCTAAACCTTACACCCCTAAGTCCTACTTCCACCCCGCCCGAATCGAACATCTTCTTAACTATGCACATCCCAGAGACTCTGAACCTGCACACTCTGAAGCCTGCCCTAAACCTTACACCCCTAAGTTCTAAATCCACCCTAGCAGTATCGAAGACCTATCAAGGTTATGCCAAAGATGATGCTGATGTTCATGTTGGTGGCCATGATGGTGTAAGTGAAGATGATATTATACATGTTGATGGCTCATGGTGATTTCGTTTTCGATGCCAAGGAAATATTCAATAGTAAAGCATAATAGGTCCCGACAAATTATCACCTGAAAGCAACCTTAACACCCCAGATCAGTTCAAGCCCAACCAGTGTGCGGCTACTTTGTCTTTTCTGTTGCCGTTTTGCTTTTATGTTGCTGTTATGTTTATCAGTTGCTGAAATTTCAGCCGCTTCAGGAAGTGGCCGAAATTACGGCCGCAGGGTTGTATAGGTATATATATATATATATACATAGACAGATAGATATACACCTGTGTGTCCTGTTTGTGGGCATACATACTTTAAGTTTATTATGTCTTGTTGAGTTGTGTACAGTGGAGTGAGAGAAAGTACTGGAAGTTCAGAGCTTCTCCTGGGTTCTTGTTAAGGGGTAGCATCTAAGTTACCATAAAAGGATCTATAATGAGTGGTTTCCTTTTTGTGGTAGCTTTAAATAACTTCCATACCAAGATCCCAGTCTCATTGTAGGGTTGTGCTCTCTTCAGCCAAGCTACTCTGCTGAGGCAGATTGTCGACCCTGCCTGATTGTTGATTGGGGGGTTTTGGGGGTTTAGGGTTCAGGCGTTTAGGGTTTGGAATTATTGAGTCTGGTGTTGAAAACTCTGAGTTTAGGGTCGGAAGGTCAAGAGTAGATGATTGAGGTGGGATTGCGAGCTTCGCTTTTCGGTTCTGCTTTGTTTTAAAACGGCGGGTGTTTAGGGTTCCGAGGGTTGGCATGCTGGCCGACATGAATTATGACAGTACTCTTTGCCCCTGATATGCCCACGATTCCTGTGACAGTGCCGCCTCCGAGAATGCCGTTGGTGGGGCCTCGAGGCATTCCCTTGCCGATGCAAGGCCCGGGGCTGCTGCCGGCGATGGTTGGGGCCGGTCCAATTTCAATTGGCCTCTTCGCTCCATCCAGACCGGCGCCGCAGACTTACTACAGCCTTGTTGCGAGGACGTCGGCGATCCTCACAAGGATGACATCGTCCTTGCAGGTCTGCGCCAGGATCATGCATCAGGCGGCTGACAGCTTCCAGGCGGAGCTCCGCACTCTCGAGTCGATGCAGGACGAGATCAAAGAATTTCTGCCTCCAATGCCGGCGCCAGATGTCAATATGGATGGCCCTCAGCCTGGCACTGGCAGCCGAGCATAGCTGGTCTGAGGCGGCCAGCTGTGTCCATTTGATATAGAAGCTTGGAAATCACGTTCCTCAGGATTCTGTAGCAGAACTACAGCAATTGTCTAGGCAAAACAGTCCTGTTCTAGTCAGTAAAGGCCTCTATGTTGGCGATGCGTGGCTGCTTGAGATTCCGGTTTAGGAATTATAGGAGTCAACGAAAACCATCTGGTGCGTGTGGTTTCGTCTCAGTCTGCTTTTAGACTTTTATTAAAGAGCCTTTCTCAGAGTTCTTTTTTGCGAGCTTACAGAGTATCAAGTTATCAAGACCCCAGTCAAATTGTGCACTCGTTGTTAGTGGAGTGGTATCATCAGCATAAGAGTTTAGGGCTTAGGGCTGGCCCCGAAAATTGTACAGTCGTTGCAATTGGTATCGTTAGCATAGCATACTTGTGCAGCGACTGTAAGCGCACATCGCTTGTCATTGTTATTCACGCCGCTCACTTGGAGGGTCGAGGGACTTAGCAAGTTGGTAGTAAGTAGACTTATAAGTACCCTAAAATGTACCGTAATTGGGGTTATGGTACTTATAAGTCCCTAAAAAAAACCAGTTACTAAGTCCCCCGACCCTCCAAGCAAACAATCACCCTGATCGGCCGTCAACCCTCAATCCCAAACCCTATAATGGCTTCTAGGCTGGAGATGAAGCGGAACCTTAAGCCCACACTTTTGAATGCAACGAGCTTTCGGGTGTATGAATGAGCAATACGTATTGGTAACCACTTAAGGTCCTTATGTAGTTCAATATGGGAGTTTCCAAAAATGAGGGGATGCTAATATGGTACCCTAGCTAGTAGGATCCTTATTATAAGGATCCCACAACAATGTACCCCCCAAGTCTCGGAAACTCCCATATATTGTGACATACCTCAAAATGGCCGAGTAACAGCCCCTACGCTATGCGAGTCTCATCCTTAAGTCGTGGCAGGACCCTAAACCTTATAAAG